TGTATATGTATATGTATATCAAGATAAATTATTTTGTAAACTATTAATATCTAAAATATCTAAAATGTATATTAAAAATTATTCCCTCACTGAGTTGATTGAACTCACCCCTCATTTTTAATGTTATTTCAGGTTCTTAGTTTCTATTAGCAGGTGGACTTTGTTGAGTGTTCCTGCTTCTTCAGTTTTGGTCGATATACCTTGCTTATTTTATGAGGCTTTTCTTTTAGTTTTGATTCGATGTCTTAGATGCTCCACTATTACTCTGTTTTAATTAAGTTTGGATTTTGACAATCTAATAAGTATTATGGATTATTGTTTTTGTTTTAATTACTGATGAAGAGTTTTGAACTATCTTTTGGGTTCATCGGTTTTGAATAACATAATATTTCTGAAGATTATAAAATGTTGCGTATTTTTGAATAATTTGTTCTTTTGATACGTCTGTTCTGAGGCTTAGCGTAGGTGTGGTGTCTTTTCGACACCGTTCCTGCGTTGCCGGTCACCGACCCGGGATTCGAGTCGTGACAGTGAACTTCACTTTTATTGTTAATACCATGAAGATAAGATGCGACTTCTCAACCCTGCAATAACAAGAAGTCAGCTTAATATTAATAAAATATTAATGTTAAATTAAAAGATAAATACATAAAACTCAACGGTTAACATATATTAATCATAAAAATACTTATGTAATGTTGAATATGTTAGGCATATTGCTTGTATTGTGTATATTCAAGTAAAGGGACCTGCTTGGGATTTGAAGTAATAATCATCGTGTTATACTAATATACCAAATCATATACTTTTTGTCAATAACAATAAAATGTATCTCTGTAAATATCTCATTTCTTTGTGCATTTCATTGTGATATATAAGTAATATACCAGCCTAACTAGTCATAATCATCATTTTTTATCCCTACGAGTAATGATGCGCAAAGCATTATTCAAGTTGATATCGATTAAAATGTATTGTCTGTAGTTGAACTATTGCATTACCCAATCCGGGAAGTGTAGCTTGACTATCTGAAAACATATTAGCGAGAACATTGTTATCCATATATTCATTCATTCTGCTAATGCAGACAACTGGAGCAACAATCAATTTTTCTTTCGAGTAATGCATCCAAATGACCTGCATATTATAAGTTCAATAAATATCAAATAACAATAATTCAGTGCAGTTAATTATTTTATTTAAAAAATAGTTCAAAAAATACCTAGATAACATGTTGTCTATCGAGCTCAATCTCTATATCTGGAGCCCGCCCACATGAAGATGTTCTCATAACTATAACTTTTATTGAATAAAAACATTTTGTTTGTTATGCATGAAAACATTTAAATCTAAATAGTTATTTAAATTTTTTCAATTTATACATGTAGAAGTACCAAATATCCTACAGCCTGTTTGGCCCTTTTCATGCAAGCAAGACATAAATATCTATACAAGTAAATCCCCAATTTTATGTAGGAATAGCATCAAAAAAATTTAGGACTGTTAGATAAAGTAAAAGAAAATATATCTCTATGAGGTCATTAAATAATACACTATTAAATATATAAAGTATATATGCCCTAACATACCTGCAAACAAATTAAAATCATCATAATAATTAATGCAATAATAACAAACATGCTATCCTTAAAACCTCCTCGTCAGTATTATTTGGTGGTGTCGAATCTCCAATCCATTTAAGATGTATGCTATCCTTCTTGTATTCAGAATGAGAGGGTGTTACTCCAAATGATTACTCACATAACGCAATCATATTACGAACATCAGTAAATGTGATTAACATTCCATTAATAGGCAATCCAATCAAAACTGCCACATCCTGTAGTGTCGGTGTCATCTTTCCATCTCTAAAAGGGGACATGTGTGTCTCATGTCTGCATTATTCAATTAGTGTATAGATCAAGTCAAGGTTAAGCATGATATGGTTAAGACAATTGACATCCCAAAAACTAACTTGGACCATATATGGCTGGTCTCGTTAATTGTAGTCATGTCTGCTTATATGTATGATAGTAAGTAGTGGTCTCTTCCTACATGATGATTTAAATTATAATTGCATCAAAATATAACATTTAATGATAATTAAATTAAGCATAAATTGAAAATATATTAAAATTAAATATACTTACAATGTCAACAATATATCCTCTAATTGATGTTGATCTTGCAACCGTAGGATAAAAGTGTTGGCGGGTCCGATATGAATGTATTATAACCCATGCTCTATAATGAATACAATAGGCATGAATACAATAGGTATGTTCTTCATACTCATAGTAATACTCACCCTAATCATTGTTCAAATGTGGATGCTCAACATAAGCAAACAATCTATCACCATGAGCGCATGGCATCCAGATATAATAGTACTTGTGATTGATGTGAAATTATATAAGTTTAATATGCTTAAAAAAGTAACTTAATAAATGATGATACATGGGTTATTGATTGGAACGTATTTTTTTATTATGCCCTATATTATTGCATATTATACACTTATAATATGTATAACCTTCTATTGCATCCATCTTGTTTGCAAACAAGTAGATATTTGGTGACCACATTCTAATTTCCATCTAGATTCAACTCGAGATCTAATATAATCAGTCCATTCTAACTAGTCTAATAATAGATTTAATATTTTGATCTATAGCTCTGAATTGTGTAATAACCATCAAAATCTAAGTGCTTAACGGGTTTTTTAAAAGAGAAGTGAGTGCTGCAGTGATTTTTTTCCTGAGAAAAAATAACATTGTATTTTTTATCTATTTAAATTTTAATTAATACCATGCTTTAAAAGAATAGTATATAAAAGAATAGTATATAGTTGTCGTATTACAGATATTTAGTGGATGTACATTTTAGAAACACAGTCAGGTCAAACTATACAATTTTGACCTATCTGACTATTCTTTAATGAATAAAAAACATATCTAAACAGATAGGCACCAGCACGTTGCTGCTACCTCGGCACGTACCTATGTATTCAAAGAACGTACCTATGTAATCTAAAAAAAAAAAAAAAGAACGTCAACCCTATCAGCCCCAGCACTTTGAATTTTTCAGCAATGTGCTGCTACTGCTTCAATTATTTTTCTTAATTTTTCCATTGAATTTGGTAAAATCAACATTAATTAATTAATTATAACTTTAAAATATTGATTTGGTGGTTAATAACGATTGCTTCAATCTTTTTAAAAACAAAAAATTAATTAATTATTCCTAAATAAACAAAATGAGCAAAAGGTTGACTTTTGAGCGCAGTCACCGGTGTCCAAGCTTTTTGATTAAATTTCTATATTTCCTACAGAGACAGAAGGAAGAACATGGCTTTGAGCTTGGAGTCTGGATAGGAATTTTAGACGCGAACATCTTTGACACGTGGTATAAATGGGTCTGTAATGCTTTCATTACCTGCTAGGGCTTGTTATGATTGGACAAGAGAAGGCTTGACGGAACCCTAACCTTCTAGGTCCTCCAGGACTGGGGCTTGTTAAGATCGGAGAAGAGAAGGCCTAGCCGAACCCTAACCTTTTAGGTCCCTCCGGTTCTTAGAGTACTGGAAAATTATTTGATAAGCTGGTGTTTTTTATTGTTCTGAGTCATTAGTTTGCAGATCCATTTTTGTTTAATGAGAAAGTAAGTGAAAACCTGTGCTTGTTGCTTGTGATTTACTAAATGGAAGTGATCGTAGGCAGGTTCAAAGAATCTGATAGTTTTGGATAGTCAATTATAGATTTGCCATCAATGAATCATGCGGAAAACTTGTGCTTATTGCTTGTGATTTACTAAATGGAAGTGATCGTACGCAGGTTCAAAGATTCCGATAGTTTTGGATAGTCAATTATAGATTTGCCATCAATGAATCATAGGGAAAACTTGTTCGTGTAAGAAAAACAGTACAAAAAAGGTCGTAATTTTTGTTCTGATTAATGGATGTTCTGATAGTTTTGGATAGTCAATTATAGATTTGCCATCACTGAATCATAGGGCAACATAATGTCTCTGTTTTTTGGCAGGCATAGCAAAGATAACTGACCTCAATGAACTTTGGGGAATTAATGGTAATTAGCTGTGGATTAGTGGGAAATTAAACAGTTTCCTTTGGTTAAGTACACAGAGCATGTTCTGCAAATCAAAAACTTGGTGCCTTCATATTTCGCATCTGCTAAAGATCAGAACCTGTCCAGTATCATAAAACATTCAGTACCAAGTGAAACAAACAGGTTGGAAGTAGACAAAGAAATCCTAGCATGATTTTCTTAGGGTAAAATCATTGGAAATGTGAAAAAATCTCAAACTTCACTTCATGCAAAGGTACATTCTCCACATGGAGACTGGCAAACTACAGAGATCTATGCTTCTGCATGTTTTAACAGAGAGGGAAGGTATTTGTGTGTTCTCATCCCGCTATATACAACAACAGCATCAAAATGTTGAAGGTAAGTGATGTGCTTGATCCAAAGAAACTGCAAGAGGTTTATGTTCAACACTCTGAGTGTAATGAAAAATTATTTCTGAAGCTCCATCTCAGAATGTGGAAAGGTTCCACTGTACTCGAAGAAGGCCTTTTTGTTATAATCGTGGTAAAAACTCCCTTCTGTTGTCTCACTGTAAGTTGTTGAGGTGGATACCATTTCAGCATTGCCATTGAAACCAGCCAGCTGCTGGATGTTCTCAAGCTCTTTAACCACCTCATTCATTGTAGGCCTGTTGGCTGCCAATTCTTCGACACACCTAATCGCCAGATCAATAAACATCTCTAAGCCTTTCAGTGGTTTTCCCGGATCGAGAGCAGGATCAAGGATGGCATCTAGGTTGCTTGAATCTTTTGTCCTCTGGTTACCCATAGCTGTTTTCACCTCTCTCACAACATAGCTCCCGTGTTCTATTGGTTTTCGACCAGTAACTAACTCCAGCATTACCACTCCGAAGCTATAAACATCACTTTTCTCAGTCAACTGTCCGGACATGAAATATTCAGGATCCAAGTAGCCCTGCAGAAAATCCAATCTCAGGCACATTTTATAGTAGGGTTACGAAATTCATTAAACTTTAGCCTTTAGTCTTTATAGCTTGTTTAAATTCATTTAATCTTTAACTTCTTTAAAGGGAAAGTCAAGGGTTCTGCCTGAATAGTGGAACGGTGGAGGTGATTGAAAATAAGCTTGTCCATGCATGTCTAGCCTTGCCTGCAGACTAGGCCTACAAGTACATACAAAATTAGGGAAAATGATAGGTGCCTTGCACCATTTCTTATTCTCCTATTCTTCTAAAACAGTTATCAAGGCTCCATTATTAATATTTTGAGGAAGCTGGGGACTTGGTCCTGAAACTACTGCTATGAATCCTTTGCTATCACTATTTGAGCAGATAAAATAGATTTAGCTGTTATTGCATTATATTTCTCTGTACTTCGAATAAAGATTTGAAAGATGCTATACTGACCATTGTCCCTTTGACTCCAGTAGAAACATGAACTTCATTATTGTCCACGGGTTTCGATAGACCAAAATCAGCAACTTTTGCAATTAGCTGATCATCTAGGAGGATGTTAGTGGACTTAATGTCCCTGTGTATGATGGGTGGATTGGCAAGCTCATGCAAATACGCAATACCTTTAGCTGAATCAATTGCTATTCCGAGTCTCTTCGTCCAACTTATCTTGAAGCCTGACTTACCTGCATAAATCATTAGGATATTGTCTGTTGAGAAACCAGGGAGAATTTTCCATGTTGTCTTTAGTGTTTTTAGGATTATATTCTTCTCATATAAGTAAAGGGTGATGGGCATTAAAAGTCACATACTGTAAGAACTTCAACTTGATTTAATTTCTATGAAAAGAACAATAGAGGATACAGCAAGCTATTAGTTTTGTATTAAGAGATGTGAAAATACCTGAAATACAGTCTGTAAGAGTACCATTTTTAATGTACTCATAGACCAGCATCTGTTCACCTAACTGATAGCAAAAACCCAACAGGCTGACAAGATTCTTGTGATGAACCCTTGATAGAAGCTCAATCTCAGTTTTGAACTCATGACTACCCTGCAATGATCCTTGTTTAGCTCTTTTAATGGCAACTAGCACACCAGTGGGAAGAGTTCCTTTATAAACCTGAGAACACATTGCAAATTTAGTGCAAAGAAAGAAATATAGAGATTGTCATAATAGTGTAGTGAAATACTACTGAAAGCTTTAGAAATGCTGCCATGGTCCAACACGGACATGTCCTCTTAAGAAGTGGGTAAAGCACCTCTATGAAGTATCCTAAAGAAGTGAATCTATACTGATATATTCTCCGAGTTACAGGTATAGTCAACTTACCGTCCCATATCCCCCAGATCCAAGAGCGTTGTCCTCAGAAAAATTGTTGGTGCATTTTTTAAGCTCCTCAAAAGAGAAACTTAGCACTCCTTTTATCTGGGGAGCGGCTCCGCTGGCTTTATTTTGGTCCCATGATGCTGCATTTGTACAAGGGAGTGATGAGTAATTCCCAGGAGTTCAAAACAAAAAAGATGAAGTGTTGGGTTTTGTTTACCGAATGGATTCATTAGTTGAGTAGCTTGATCTGCCTTTTTCCGTTGATGGAAAGCATAAACTCCAGCCATGAGTAAGAGTAGCATAAGTACAGAACCACCTACGGCTGCTCCAATGATAATCCCAGTACTTGATGACTTGTTCGAACCTGCATAATATTTATGATTACATTGAGGTAGAATTGTAGGCTATTTTTATTGGTGCTACTATAGAAAGTGTCTAGGGAATGAGGCCTCTGGATTACAAGTCAGTATCAAGCACAAGTTTCTGCTCAAAGTTCGCCTTACCGGTAAAGTAATTGTCGGTATTAAGAGTGAAAAAGAAGGGTCCAAAAGCATCTGGGAGTTTGACAAAAGTTACGTTGTTGAGCTGAGATGTAATGACAGAAAATCCTGTCCGGTTGAAAACGTAAACGCCAGATGGAAAAACATCCAGCCTCACTTCAAGGTAATCATAAGCATCCTTCAATGGAACACTTAGAGAAATTGAATCAACGGGAAGTTGGTCGGAATTGAAAGATTCCATCATTGCAGACTGGAGAAGAGTATAATAGCTTCCATTTTGAAAGTCTGAGAAGGAAAATGATCTGAAGTGTAGAATTCCTGTTATTGGATTTGCACAGTTACAGTTTGGACTGAGAAGTTGCTGGGCATTGCAAGAACGAGCCACACAATTTTCTCTTGGTGTAGCATATGAAGAATTTGGCTGTTGGGGAACTATGCAGTTTTCTGAAGACGGCACCTTCTGACAAAACGGATTACCAAGAAGCCTGAAAAGTTATGACAGTTGCACAACATTATACCTGAGTTGATGCAATGATGATAGATACCGGATTCCGTGTTCTAGCAATAAACCAGATTCAGTTCCTTGCCTAGGAGATAAAACATTCAAAGAAATCACTTACAATAATTCTTTGCTGTATTCTGTTCCTTGTGCAAACTCACTAATGGAATTGTTCTGCAAATCAATGAGTAGCAGTTGGCTCCCATAGTTGGTGCCCAAATCCAAGGTACCATTAAGCTGGTTGTTACTTAATACTCTGTCAACACAAGTCAGAAGAATCAGCTTTAAACATCACTGGATTTTATCAGGTTTTTACTAAAGATTTCACAGTATTGATTCCAATCAATCGAGTATAAATATAATGCTTTTTGAGAAGAAGGTGATCCTTACATAGACTGTAACTGAGCAGGACTAAAGAGGGTGGCATTTATTGGTCCTTGAAGCTGTGTGCGCTCCATTATTCTGTCAGCACAAAGTTTACCCATTAGGGTTACCAGAGATCAACACTTTCTCATTATCCAAGAGAGCAAAAGCGCAAGGTATGAATATTGTTATGTTGCCTCTATGCTTTGTGTGTGTTTGGAGAAAGAGAGAGAGAGAGAGAGGGATACAATGATGTCATGGATTGTAGGCTTGAAAACCATGGTGGGATTAATGATGCGTCAAAACTATTGTTGCTCATGTCCCTGCAAATAAAAAATGAATCTGAGAATCAGATATGACACTGAAACTGAGACAGCACCGAGCTGTGGAAAAGGGAATACTGGAGTCCCACTTTATCAATCTGAAGATAGATTTAGATCTTGCATAATCAAAGGCTACTTACACATAGGTGAGGAACTTCATGCCACTGAGGTCAGGCATTGATCCAGAAAATTTATTGTTGGACAAGTACCTAAAAACAAATAGCAAGTTATGCTTAATCCAGTAGAGCGGGTAACATAAAATTCAAGGAAATTTGAAGAGAAATTGTGTTCTTACAGCTCGGAAAGACTTGGGAGACTGGTGAAGTTGAGAAGGATGGGCCCGGTTAATGAATTCCTATCTAGACGTCTGTTCACGGGACAAATTATTTAATATCAACAAGACAAAATATTTAATATCAAGTAACTGGAAACGTTGCAGTCTATGATCAGGACATATACTCACATCGCCTCCAAGGTTTGTACAAGTTCCAGTGTAGAAGGAAAGCTGCCGCTGAGTTGGTTGCTGTCAAAAAGCCTGCTCAAAGTAAGATATTCAAAAGGATTAACTATTCTGTCTGAGCTTTTGGATTTTCTAATCTCAAGGATTCTACTCTCCTTGTTCATGTCTAATTACATGTACAGTCAACAGAAAACACTATCAGGTTTTCGGATAACTTACACATGTATGAGACTCATATTTGAGCTGAAAAGGTTTGATGGAATTCCGCCGGTTAACTGATTTTTCCCCAGATGACTGCAATTAATGGATGCAATTACAGAACATTACTCTGGAGAAATAGATCAACTCCAAATGACTGCTTCAAAGAGATACAGAAATGATCTACAGTACATACAAGTGCCTTGCTTTTAGCAGCAAATCTAAACCAGGAGAAGTTCCATCAGATACTGGAATTGTCCCGCTGAGTTTATTGTCGGTTAAATCCAGCAGAGAAAGATTAGACATTTTGCCGATGGAAGGTGGTATTGGTCCATTGAAGTTGTTGGACGCTAGAGATCTGCACAGGAAGAAATTTGGGAAATTGCATACAGAAATTGAAGAGCAAATATTGCACACCACGTATAAACGGACTAGGCAGATGATATTTGAAGTATTGTCTCCAGGTTCTGTTTTCTACTAATCAAATTCTGAAATGGAGACGACAGAAATTCTTACAAGGAGACCAGATGCGTTAGAGATCCTATCTCGTCAGGAATTGGTCCATTAAAATTGCAATCAACGAGGAATCTGACATCCAATGTAAAGTAACCAGTAAAAGATAGTTTCTGAGTTTATAGCTAAGAAAATATAGGTTGCTCAAGAACAGCACAGAAAACTTCAGTTCGCTTACAGATTTTCAAGCTTCTTCAGATTTACTATTGCTGGTGGGAGAATTCCTGTCAAACCATTGTTTTGAGACAAATCCCTGTATGCAGAACTGATATCAGATAACTACATGGTTTAATTGCCACTTATCTAAAAGCTCAAGTCACATGGATCACTGCAGTATAGAGAACTCATCACTGGATTTTCAAGCATGAAAGGTGAACTAAGAGGTGACAAGAGAACATAGAGAAAACCCACAGAGTTTGCAGCTCTGGAAAATTGCCGATGTCGCCACTCAACGTGCCGGACAATCCCATTCCTGATAGTACTCTGAAAACAGAAACGCATGCTCTATGTTCAGATATACCGAAGATGAGCATGGAAAAAAACAATCAAAAGCAGTTAGCACTGATTTACATACATGGAGGTGATACGAGAACCAGTGCACCCTATTCCTTCCCATCTACCGCCACAAGGATCAAAACCACTCCAATTCGGCGGTGTGTTCTTCCAGTTACTCTTCAGAGAATTTAGAGCAGATACTGCATCAGATCGACACAACAGTTGCCATAGTTTAAACATTAAGAAAACAAGGAACAAAGGCGAAAATAAAATTTGAGGTAAGCTGGCACTTCCACACCAAATAACAAAATAATATAAAACACTCTCGAGGGTTAATTCTGCTTAGAAAACCATAGATGAACTTACAGTCATTAGAGTCTGTCGCCGCTGTTATGACTAAAACTTGAAGGCAGGTGATCAGCAGGAAAACCGGAAGTCCTGAACCCATTTCTTACAGGCTGCTGAGCTCCAACAGAAGGCTCTCAAACCTCAAAATCTTTCTCTCAGCTGCCTCCTATAATTGATGAGCACTTGCTAATTGTATTGTTTTCCAATGTCACCGGCTTCCGGCGGACGAAACTATATCGAAAGGGGTGCTGCGTACAACGTCAACTGCTCCCTTGTGAGATGTTGATGGTAGAAATAAACTTCGATGAATAAAACAAAAAAAGTACGAAAACTAAATAGGCCAAGACCCGTTGAATGATCTCAACATATTGAAAATCATAATCAGCGACAGACGACTAGTACTGGTTTCTTTTGTGAGAGTCTCAGATGTTTTTTGCTAACCACAGTTTTCGGGCAGGGCGGGGACTCACCTTGAAATTGACTTGGGTTTATAACGAAGATAGAATTGATCCACGTTTACCGGGTCATCTAAGGTCAATTTATTTTTATGGCTTCATTTTTCTTATGTCTTGGTGTTCGCCCGGCAGGTTTGGACAGGGTTTGGCTAGATTAATAAGGATTCGAATGTTTTTTAAGTTCAATTTGAAACTTGGATTGAATTCACCTCCGAATCAGAAATTTTTCATATCAACCCATCAAACCAAGTTTATCGACAAGATTATAAGTATATTTGGTAATGTAATAATAATTGTTTTTTAAATAATTCATCAGAACAAGTTTATCGACAAAATTATAAATATATTTGATAATGTGATAGTAATTGCTTTTTACATGTTAATAATATTTTTTATTTTAAAAAAATTATTTTTAACATCACTCCATCAAAATTATTCAAAACGTATAAATCATATTAAATTTTAATAAAACAATAAAAAAATTTGAATTTTTTAAAAATACAAATTGAACCACCTTCTCAAGCAATTCTTGTATCACGACACAAGTAAGCTAGCAGAATCCACCACCATATAAATAATTAAACATGATATGGTGAAGAAACTCCAAGAAAGTGGTGTTTGGACCCGATCTCCATCCAAATGTTCAACCCTTTAAGGAGACCTCCATCCAAATGTTCAACCCTTTAAGGAGACTCGTTCTTCCTTCTGCTTTATATGCGTTCCCATTTGGTTTACCAAATCCTGTTTTCTTGTACATTTGGTTTTGCATCCATTGTCAATACATCGTGCCAAAGCAGAAAGTGGTGACGCGGCTGGTTTGGTAAGAAATGGGAGCCACTTGCACACCAACTCTCATTTATTATTACAACTTGGACCGATCTGTTTCCTGTTCTATTATGGAGAATTCAAGTGAATATTCAAAGATTAATTTTGTTATTTAAGAACATTAAGTTGCATGATCCTATATGTTTTTATATACTTTCAAGGGTTTTCCTTTCTTTGTTTTTTGTTTCGTCTTCTTTTTATTGGTGCCCTTTCACATAGTAAGGCTATAGAAGAATTATGCCTGCCCTTTTCATATAATTCTTTTTATAAATTTATTGGTGCCTTTTTACATATAACTTGTGTGTGTAAAAGCCAAGAAATAAGTGTATTTTATATCACGCTTGAGAAAAAAACATAGATTAAAAAAAAATAGCAAATCAAGTATATTTGATAAATATTCAGATAAGTATTCAGATGAAATATTTACATGTATAAAATGAATTTAAAAATAGTTCTAAAAATAAAAAATTATTAGAAATTTTATATCACGCTTGAATATTGAATATCAAATATTCATTGCTATAGAAAAATGCTAAACATTTTTTTTCCTTTTTTTATAAGAAAAAAATATGATTTAAGAAATTAGATTAGAAAGTAAATGATATATAGAAGTCATTCATGAAAACTATATACAAGGATGCCTTAACTGAACATTATTTTAAAATAAATTATATATATATATATTAGTATTTCACTCATCCAAATAGAAAAAGGATTGAGATGATAATATAATACCAAGTTATAATATAAATAATTAAGTATTTTTTTAAAGTGTTTTTTAATTGAAAATACATTAATATAATTATTTTTTTATTTTTTATATTATCAAAATCACCAAAATATATTTAAAATAATTATAATTTAATACTTTTTTAAATAAAAAGTTTCAAACCACTACAAGAAGCTTGATCTATTCTCCTTTTATTGGACCAAGCAATGGCTTATTTGCCAAATATTCTTAAGAGCCTTCTCCAGAAACCCAATTTGAATAGACTGGCTTCCTCTATGAACCAAATCGTTTTATTAATTAAAAAATAAAGTCAAAATTGAAAAATGGTTCCTCAAGACTTTCTTGAACTTTTTTTTATGGTTAATCTTGCAAAGCAGTGATTCATTCTTCTTCTTCTTCTTCTTCTTCTTCTTCTTCTTCTAATCAGGGAAGGTTCATTTGCAAATGAATGCCCTCTAGATAGGAATTAACTACTCCAATTGTGTTCTTGTTGTCATAGTTATTAGATCTTCCAATCACATGATCAACCTTAAAGTTACACAGTTGCAGGATTATACTTGCTTGAATGAATAACATGAGGGTGGGTTACAGATGAAAACGAAAATTACAAGGAACAATTGAGATTGGATTTCTTTTCAGAAATTAAGCTGTCAAAACATGGACTGAAGTCTATAAAATTCAAGAACATTGATGAAACTGATCAAATTGATTATTAGAGGGAATGGAAAAATGCAAGATGATGAAGACAGGATGATTCAGGCATGCATGCATGCCAGACAATTTATTCATATCAAGATAGTAACCTTCGCTGTGCCATTACTAATCTTAATCTGCATTGATACATACATGTTTGGTACAACCAAATCCTTAATTGTAATGTCATACTATAAATCACAAGCTTTACGTCAATATCTCACTGATTGTTGCTTGATGTCGATATTTTCTGATGAGAAAATCTGATCTGAAAAGGAAAATAAACCAAACTAATTTCAGTAGAACGATAAGCAAAGACATAAGCATGCTGATATGGGAAGAACTAAAGGGAAATTACTCAAACAGATCCTGAATCGATTACTTTCCCCTCCCCCATTCCTCATCAACAGCAAAATAAATAGATAAATAAACAAACAAGCTTGAGCTTGAGTAAGGCTCGACACTATCTTTAACTCTATTCAATAAATTATTGATGGATAAATTATTCAGGCAAGCACGTTAGTGAAAACAGACATAAGAAAATAAACTTGAAGAACATCAGAACAATATGCACAGCAAAGTATTTATCATTTTGCTTCTGCTATGTTACTGGGGACCTTTACCTTCAGGATGTACTGGTTCAGCTAAGTGACAGATGAAGGTGAGGCATCTGGCTGATTTTCGGGCATGGCATTCTGGAATGCTGGCAGCTCACTATATGCTTCATGCAACCTTGATAGAAGAGGGAACTGAGTCTGCACAAATGAGAAAGCAAGAACACAGTTGTCAAATTGGATGTTAAATAATGAACAGAAAACTAAAATATAGAATTAAGAATCTAGAGAGTAGAGTAGTTGTCATATCACTTTGCACACAACAATTCAAATGCAAGGGATTTTGAGGAGGGGGGTGGGAGGGCGGAGAGAGATGAGCAATACATAAATGATGAAAAAACAAAAACAAAGTTATTTTACTGTAACAAATTGTGGCTACAGTTTAAATAGCGTGATTCATAGAGGGATTACACTTTTTTTCTCAACTTTATTACTGTTACATATTTTCATTAAACCTAATATTCTACCGCCACAAATTCAACACAAACTACAAGAAAAAATTAAAGATAAACATGTTAGTGCTGACTACAGATGGATATTATACATGTTTGTTTGATTTGTACCAATTCAAACTGAACAGATGAACTACATGCAAAAATAGGAATTTAATACACAAATAAAAAAAAAAACTCAGGGAACGGTAATTACCATGTCAACATTGAACCTTTTAATTGCTCCATGAATCTGTGGTTCTATAAACAGATCTGCCTGTAAGGTGAAAAAATGTATCATAATTTATTCTCATGCCATAGAAGTGAGGATTCAGCATAATGTCTCACAAGCACTTCAAAAATGCACCATCTTATAGCATTTGGAGCTCCAACAACACCATTTCATATCAGTAACCCAGATCCATGGTTTGGGAGCAGAGTCAAGCTAGATCCAGATTGTTGTCCCATAAAAGTTATACATGTAAAAGGTGTATATTATACATGAAAGTTTGAGTTTCAAGGAAAACAAAGACGAAGCAAAAAAAAAAGCAATAGAAAACAAACCATGGATACTTCATCTCCAGTTGCATATTTTCCAGCAGAGTCTTTTAGCAGCTTCTCTAGTGCTGAGGCACACAATACATCATGAAAAATCCAAATAAGAAGAACAAACACGCCTTAACATGTCAGCTTATATTTATATTGAATCTGACCAAGGCAAACTCAAATGGCTATCATCCATTGATTTGCATTTAAACATAATTTTACTGAGTTTAACACTAATGTTAGCAAATACTGAACATGACCAAACAAGTAGTTAATGATGAACCTGTCAGATGTTTCTTGTTATTACAAGTCTTGTGACACTTTTCTTGTGAATGAATTTAGACCATAGCAGAAACAGGTCATATGACTCATATCGACTGGGAACATGAGAAGCAAGGTCTGTATGTACAAGTTGTCAGTGTTGACAGCCTATGGCAATTGAGAAGTGAAAAGCTAATTGTCTAGCTTTTATACTGAAAAAGAATTCAACATGGAGGACTGATGTGGATGTTATTTTTTGCGAAAGGAATTTCAACTTTTCCACTTAGTAATTAAAGAAAAAAGTTGGTTTACCTGCAAACCCTTTGTTAATATGACTCTGAACCCAAGGAATCACCTCATCTGGACCAACTTTTTCATTGATATACTTCTGTAAATAGAGTGCAGCAAAACAGCATAAGGAACATAAGTAGTCTGACAATGTCAGATAAACATCATCTGAATTCCAACACAATTAACAGATTAACAGGAGCAATAATCTCAATAAGATACTTACTAGCACAGCCATGTTTTGAAGAGGCTGGGTGGGAAGAGGCTGTATGCTAGAGCAGACAACATTTGCAGCCTAAAATGGAAGAGATTAAAGAGAGAGAGAATCAGTATTTGACACTCGGCACAGAAGCTGTTGGTAAAACTGAATGTGATGGGAAAGAATATATATATATATATATATATAAAAAAAAAAAAAAAAAACAGACAGTTGTGCCCAATTAAATCAGGAACTCAAGATTTATGATCAGAGGAACTCATATCAAAACTGCAACTTCCAATAATGAAGCCAATCGTGTTGGCTGATGAATTGTTGGTATAAGTGTTGCGCAAACAAGATATAGTAGTTAAAAAGCAAGGAAGGATATGCAATGCAACCTGATAATTAAG